TAAGGTTAATTGCAAACGGAAACGGACTTGAAGTATTTGAACAGTTGAGCAGCTATTAACTTTTGAAGGACGATCTTATAATATGTAGTTAGTTATACGTCGGAGCACGAAGTTTAAATATGAAAATGGCTGTCTTCTGGGTTATTGCGCCGTGTAGTCTGGTAGAAGGGCGATCGCCCTGATAGAGGCAGCAAGGACTTCTGAACCAGACTACACGGCGCAAGAACCTAGAAGACAGCCATCTTCGGATTCACCGCAGTGAAAACCTTAAATCACACAAAATTTAAATGTCTTCGAGGTTTTCTATGGCCACAAAGAAATGTATTTCAGTCCGATAAAAGATTAAAAAAAACACTAATTTTGCGAACACCAAAATATTCCATAAACATTCGGAAGTTAAATGAAGCCCGCTAAATGAATACAATCATGCCTTCGCAGTGCAGACCGAATGGTAGCTGCCGAATACTACCAGTCTAGGGCCCTCCAGGCAGGTTCTTGAATGGGGTCGGTTTTATGCAGATAATGCCCTGACTGGTTGCTATCTCGTAATGCTAATCGAGCATTGAAGTTTACACAAAGGGGGTCACCGAGTCTGCGGCGTTGCCACATAACCGGGTCACCTGCCTCATCTCCCAGCCGCAGAGGCTCCAGAAAGAAAGGAAAAAAAACCCCCTAAGATGTGTCACGTACTCGATAAGTTATATATGAGACTAACTAATTAATTAGTTGCATGGAGCAGAGACCATTTTGAGACGCTAACAGTCGGTCAGTCAAGAAATTCCAAGTTTTTTATGAAAATCAAGGTTCATTAACGCGTTCACAACAGCCGGTTACTAGACAAGAAGAACGAAGTGCAATCCGATTGCTTCCATACCCACTTGGCATCAGCCTGCCACCCATCCCTACGTCTTGCAAGTGATCTCTTCTGTTCGGGTTTCACGACGAAGGCTGATCTCCCCCGCGCTCCTTCTTTTTATCATCCTAATAATAGTTCATGAAGAGTGCAAATTATGAAGCTCCTCGCGCAGTTTTCATCAGTCGAATGTTGTTTTCCTTCTCCGTATTACGTCCAAATATTCTAATCAGCATTCTATTCTCGTATCTCAATACACTCATTTCTTTCCTTATCACGCACACAGAAAACTACAGACAAAATTACAGATTTGCATATTACATAATCTTTAAGTGTTTAGATAGCAAATAAAGAAATTTGCTTCTACTTTTCTGAAATCCGTATACTGTGAGT